GTGGCTAGTGTGGTTAGGAGTAAGGCTAGTGTTTGAGTGGCTAGTGTGGTTAGGGGTAGGGCTAGTGTCTGAGTGGCTAGTGTGGTTAGGGGTAGGGCTAGTGTCTGGGTGTCTAGTGTGGTTAGGGGTAGGGCTAGTGTCTGAGTGGCTAGTGTGGTTAGGGGTAGGGCTAGTGTCTGAGTGGCTAGTGTGGTTAGGGGCAGGGCTAGTGTCTGGGTGGCTAGTGTGGTTAGGGGTAGGGCGAGTGTCTGAGTGGCTAGTGTGGTTAGGGGTAGGGCTAGTGTCTGAGTGGCTAGTGTGGTTAGGGGTAGGGCTAGTGTCTGGGTGGCTAATGTGGCTAGGGTTAGTGTCTGGGTGGATAGTGTGGTTAGCAGTAGGGCTAGTGTCTGGGTGGCTAGTGTGGCTAGGGTTAGTGTCTGGGTGGATAGTGTGGTTAGCAGTAGGGCTAGTGTGTGGTAGACGAGTGTAGTTAGGATTCGGTCTCGTGGTAAGGCTAGTCTATGATCGGCTATTGCCTCATGTATGGAGTTTTCAAATGTTCACGTTCAAACTATTGGTATTTCACACAAAACTCAATTCAGATGGTCCAACCCATTGGGCCACGTTCAACTTTATTTGTTAAACCAGTTGGGGGAACTCAATAGAGCAAGATAGCGTCTCGTTTGCAAGAGTGACCTTGGGTCACCCAAAACTTCAAAAGCAAAAGAGTAGTGAAGTGCAGCGCTGATGCAAATAAACATTGAGGAGTGGTTAAAGTGTGGATCTACGGAGATTCCAGCTGCCTTGTCTGTAAAACTCTACAAAGTTTGAGGCTTACCATTCTAAATTTAAGACGACGCAGGCTCTGGCGACCACGATCATGATCCGTAACTTATTTTTTATTTTTAAGTCAGATGTCGTTAATTTTACACTCCTAGCTACTGCTTGATGCTGACGCCTCCGCTGCTGGCTGTAATGATCAGCTAAAACGCCCGTACCTACACATTTCAACATTAGGAGACTACTCTCCAACAATACTATATCATGGGGCCGTTTTTAGCCAGACTCAAAGTATGAAAAATAAGAATAGGTTTTACCCTTTCTGGAAATAACACAGGAGGTGTTAAGATGTTTGTGCTGTTGCTGAAGCGGCAATGGATCCGAACGACTGCTCACGTGACAAATTGGCTGTGCCGGGTCCGTGGAGAGTTTCCAACACGCATTTTATTACATAAATATAAATCGATTTACAACATCTACATCTATACACTCTGCCCGTCTCTAGGACATGGCGTCACGATTACATACGAAAATGTATTCTATATAAATTAAAGTTTAGTTTCAAGTTGTGTTCCTATTAGGGACTGAACACAGATAACCCGGGCACGTTTAAATAACAATCTTTAACTATACTGGAGGAATCCGATGAGCTATAAAGCTTTTTCTCCACAGATGTCCAGTAGGCGCACGGGGTAAGAATGTTACTACAACAACAAACAGTACAACAACAACAAACAGTACAACAACAAACAGTACAACAACACGATAGGAGTGTACACTACAGGAAAGGTAAACAAATCACTTACAAGTACAACTAAATAATTCTTATCTCGGGTAATTCCCACCGAGGTATTAACTTATTTTTCAGAAGTGTGTGTGTGACACTCAGCGGAGGGCACACGGTGTGGGGAGCGGTGGCGCAGCGGTTAGCGCTATGCTGCGCTACGAACCTGGCCACCTGGGTTCGATTCCCGCTCACGGCCAACGCCGGTGATGATTATCTGTACCGGTCCTGGGCCTTCCCTAGGTAGACTCAGCCTCAAATGAGTACCTGGTGCGGTGTGTAAACATCGCTACTGGGGAGACAAAGGCGGCCGGGCGCGGTGCAGCCTTCATAGGTACTACTTGCTAACAGCACTTGCCCCAAGTCTGTTAAGGCTATACGGGGGATCTTTGTCTTTGGGCCACAATGTGATGCCTGTAGAAGGCAGTACAGCAAGCAGGTTGCTGGCTGACGTGTGCAGACTGCGAGTGATATATTTTTTGTAACTATTTAAAAATATATTTTACCAGATAAGGCCCCGCTGAGCTATGTAGCTCTTCTTCAGAAGCAACCTGGCACTTCTGTTAACACCTCATCAGTGCCCCCCTACCTTAGCACAGACCAACCCAGACCTTACTGGTCACCCCGTGCCCCTTATACATCTCAAAGTTCATCCTAGGAAGTCCCATCACAAGGGAGAAACACAAACAAATAGACAATCACCACTTCTACACTCACCGCTACATACCTGTAAACACCTTAAAATCAACCATATCTTACTACAGACCAATTCACACCTTATTAGTCATCCCTCGCCCCTTATTTCAACGTTCATCCTACAAAGTCCCATCACACGGGAGCACCACAAACAAATATACAAAAACAAACGTTTGCCTGCATTGAAACGGCTTTACGCCGCATATATCTGAAAACTCAATTTCCCTGGTACAAGAAGACCGGGTGAACGATATGGGTTGACATGGTATGACATGGCCACAAACGATAGCTCAACAAAGTGGCTCATCACGTGGAAATCTATCGCAGCAAAATATAAAAAAAATGAAATCTAAATAATCTCAATGCATGTTTCGAAATCAAATCCAAAACCTTGACCCCCCTCCTCCTCCTCCTCCCTCAGCTTCCCGGCCCCTACCGGGCGAGGTGCAACCCCCCCCGGCAGGGCCATTATCCGAGCCCCGTGGTCTCATCGCGGCCTCGGCACGAGCGCTGCGAGAGGAATCCGATGAGCTATGAAGCTCTTTTTGTTCACAAATGTCCGGTAAAGTTTGGAAAGGGTTCCCGAATCCGTGGGGTGTGCGCCAGACTTCTTTATTCTCAATGATCAGAGGCAATGCGGTGGCTATGAGATGTTAACTACCTCTCCCGGTGTGCAGGAGGTCGTGGGTTCAATCCCGACCCTGACGATGCCTGCTGCTGCTGTATATTTGGAGTTTGCGTGTCTCTCTCATCATCATCATCATCACGGTGGCTATGAGATGTTAACTACCTCGCCCGGTGTGCAGGAGGTCGTGGGTTCGTTCACGACCCTGACGATGCCTGCTGCTGCTGCTGTATATTTGGAGTTTGTGTGTCTCTCTCTCATCATCATCATCACGGTGGCTAGGAGATGTTAACTACCTCTCCCGGTGTGCAGGAGGTCGTGGGTTCGATCTCGACCCTGACTCCTGCTGCTGCTGTATATTTGGAGTTTGCGGTCTCTCTCTCCCCGTGGTCGTGAGGATTTCCCCCCGGGTCCTCCGGGTTTTCTCCTCCACATTTAGAATCAACATCACCACGCGTTTAGAGTCTTCGGCTACCGCTGTAATTTCCCACGTGATGATGATAAGCCACTTCGTTGGGCTATTCATTTGTGATAGTCACAAATGATAGCTCAGTGGGCCTTACCTGGTAAAGTAAAAAAAATGTACAAAAATAATTGGTCTATTCCAAGAGAGGGGTTTTAGAAGAAAGGGGGGAGGGGGTGAGGAGGGAGGGGGGCTAGGAAGGGAGGGGGTGAGGAGGGGGGGCTAGGAAGGGAGGGGGTGAGGGGGGGCTGGGAAGGGAGGGGGTGAGGGGGGGCTGGGAAGGGAGGGGGTGAGGAGGGGGTGGGGCTGTAAAGGGAGGGGTGAGGAGGGAGGCGGGCTAGGAAGGGAGGGGGTGAGGGAGGGGCTGAGAAGGGAGAGGTGAGGAGGGAGGGGGGGGGCTAGGAAGGGAGGGGGTGAGGAGGGAGGGGGGGCTAGGAAGGGAGGGGTGAGGAGGGAGGGGGGGCTAGGAAGGGAGGGGGTGAGGAGGGAAGGGGGGGGGTGGGAAGGGAGGGGGTGAGGGGGGGGCTCGGAAAGGAAGGGGGTGAGGAGGGGGGGGGGGCTGGGAAGGGAGGGGGTGAGGAGGGAGGGGAGGGGAGGGTGGACAAAACGGGGCGTGGTTAACATGATAGGGGCGGTGTCTTGCATAATGAGATGAACGTGTGGGCGGGGGTTGGGTTTTGGAGGCGAGGTTTTTCAGGTGAAAGGGGCGGGATTCTGTGTCCAGCGGGCAGCATTCAATTCAATTGGGTGTGGAGGGGTGGGCGGGCGGGCGGGGCAGTGGTTGTTAAGGTGAGGTGTTGGGGGTTTCAGGTTGCTATGGGGCGGAGTCATGATTAAGAGGGCGGAGTCTTAGGGGGAAAGGGCGGGGCTATCTGAAATCAAAATCAGAATATTTCTACTGGAGCAGGAATCCGATGAGCTATGAAGCTCTTTTTCACACATGTCCATTCAGGTCACGGGATAAGAACGTTACAACAACAAACAGTACAAAAAATATATAGTAGTGCATAGTACAATAAAAGGTAAACAAATCTCCCAAACACATACAAATACAAACTAAACCATCCTGTCAGTATAATAATTATTTTAATTATAAGCAAGCAAAACCGTTCATGCGAATGCTGTCGCAAGAGGGCACACAACGGTCCTTCGCCAACTATGCGCGATGAATTAAATGAATGAATCCGATGAGCTATAAAGCTCGTATATTTCCACAGATGTCCAGTACGGACTGGAGGAAAAGGGGCGGGGCTATAAAAATAGGGGGGGGTGGCTTGGAAGAAATGGGCGGGCCCCCTTGCGAAGGGGGCGGGGCCTTGAGGGGTGGAGGCGGAGCTAATTTAAAATAGGGCTGTGCTATGGAGGAGGGGAAGGTAGGGGGGGGCTGTTGGGGGGAGAGGGGAGGGGCTGTGAGGGGAAGGGGAGGGGGGTGAGAGACTGGGAAGGGGGGGTTAGGGGGAAGCGGCGGGGATGTGGGGAGGGGCTGGGATATGGGGGCTGTGGGGGAGGGGCGGGGCTGTGGAAGAGGGGCGGGGCTGTAGAGGAGGGGCGGGCTCTGAGGAGGGGGGTTTTGGGGAAGGGGCGGGGATGTGGGGAGGAGTTGGGCTATGGGGGTTGCTGTGTGGAGGGGCGGGGCTGTGGGGGAGGGGCGGGGCTACGGGGAAGGGGCGGGGCCGCGCTCCCTCACGGGACTCCGCATAGCGCGTGCGTCTGAGACGCTGCTTGCTTGCTGCTGCTTCGTCTTCTTCCTTCGGCAGCGGAAACAACAGCAGCGGGCAGAGATGGATGGATGAATAAATACAGCAGACAGATACCCATAGAGGTAGACACAGACCCGAGGGATACTCACACTCGCATACAGAGAGATACACAGAGATACACACATGCGTACACACCACCGCGTACAACACCCTGAAGCCCAGTCGCACACCAGCCATATACTACTGACACCATCCCACAGCCTCTCTCTCTCACACACACACGCACAGCAAACAAATCCCCCTCACACACCGTGACACACCGTGACACACCTCACACACAAACCTCACACACACCTCACACACCGTGACACCTCACACCACACACACCTCACCTCACACACACCTCACACACCTCACCTCACACACCTCACACACCTCACACACACCTCACACCACACACACCTCACACACACCGTGACACACCACGCACACCTCACCTCACACACACCACACACACCTCACCTCACGCGTCACACACACCTCACACACCGTGACACACCTCACCTCACGCGTCACACACACACCTCACACACACCTCACACACCACACGCACCTCACACATCACACACACCTCACATACCGTGACACACCTCACACACCACACGCACCTCACACACCGTGACACACCTCACACACCGTGACAGCCCACACTGACGCAGGCAAATCAACATCACAGAGTGACGGATGGAGCGCGTGGAGTCAGCACCACCACCATCGTCAGCACCACCACCATCGTCACCACCACCACCACCACAGTCAGCATCAGCATCTCCGTGTCCCCATGCCTCTTAATTAACGACATCATCCAATTCTGGAGTTGGGATCCTAGCTGGAATCGGGGGGGGGGGGGGTCCGAATTGGGCGTCAAGGATCCCCGCCTGGCTCGTGGCTGAGGCGGAGAGCACCGGAGCGGCCGCGACCTGCGCGTGGCGGTGGTGGTGACGGTGGTGACGGTGGTGGTGGTGGTGGTGACGGTGGTGGTGGTGACGGTGGTGACGGTGGTGGTGGTAGTGACGGTGGTGGTGGTGACGGTGGTGACGGTAGTGGTGGTGGTGACGGTGGTGGTGGTGGTGACGGTGGTGGTGGTGGTGACGGTGGTGGTGGTGGTGACGGTGGTGGTGACGGTGGTGGTGGTGGTGGTGACGGTGGTGGTGGTGGTGGTGACGGTGGTGGTGACGGTGGTGGTGGTGGTAGTGACGGTGGTGGTGGTGACGGTGGTGGTGGTAGTGACGGTGGTGGTGACGGTGGTGGTGGTAGTGACGGTGGTGGTGTCGAGCCCGAGCCATGGCCCAAGGGAAACGCGGCGCCAGCTCAGCCGACGAGACCCCCAACACCATCGTGTACAGGAAGGTGAGGCGCCTCCTCCTCCTCCTCCTCACCCCGCGTCGCCGCCTCCTCACCCCACACCGCCTCACCCCACTCCACCTCAATCACCCTACATCACCTCACCCCGCTCCACCTCACCCCACTCCGCCTCACCCCACACCCCACACGGCCTCACCCCACACCGCATCGCCTCACCGCACACCGCCTCACCACACACCGCCTCACCCCACACTAGCTCACCTCGCTCCACCTCACTCACCCCACACCGCCTCACCCCACGCCTGCTCACCCGACTCACCCTGACCGGGTGCGGTCTCCAATCAAAATCCTCGCCCTCCTCGCCCGCCCCGACTGGACAGATCCACCAGAGACAAAGATCCCCCGTGTAGCCTTCACAGAGTGTAGGGGCAAGTGCTGTTAGCGAGCAGCACCTTTGAAGGCCGGCACTGTGGCACACGAGGGGGTGGGTAGCCAGCACCACGCCCGGCCGCCTTTGTCTCCCCAGTGACGATGTTTACCATACACCGCACCGGGTCCTCATTTGAGGCCGATTCGACCTAGGGGAGGCCCAGGACCGGTTCAGATAATCGTCACCGGTGTTCGGCCGTGAGCGGGAATCGAACTCGGGTCGCCGGGTTCGTAGCGCAGCGTAGCTCGCCCGGACGAACCCACCACCACCACCATAGCCTCCCCCACGTGTGTTTCGTGTTGTACCGCGTGTTGGGCGCCTCCTTCAACAACAGCGGCACTCATTGAAGGAGCTGCCAGCAGCACGCGGAGCGAAACGTCGGACGTCGTGCCAAATACAACACGCGCACCGCGCAACCTCAAAAAACCACACACGCACACTACGGGAGGGCCGCAGAGTAAACAAGCAGGTTGCTTGGACCCACGGTGAACCCTGTCCGATCCAACCTCACCTGAACCAAGCCCGGGGGTTTTTTTTAAAATCTGACCTCACTTGACCCCGACCCCACACCCCCCGGTCCGGGCCCTAAGGTCCGTTCAACCGTCCCTCACGTCGCCCTCCAGCTTCCGAACTTCCTTCTGGCTGAACCCACCTGACCGGACCCCTTGACCTGGCCCCTTGACCCACCGACGTGAAGGTACCCCATCATCACCACCACCACCACCACGGTCTATCCACTGCTGGAAGAAGGCCCCCAACTCTTACCCAGGCTTGTCGCCAGCCTCCACGCTCTCGCTGCGACCCAAACCCCATCGGGCTCCATCTCATTGGCTCGTGTTTCCGTGCATGGATGTTACAGTACGTCGGACTTCTTTCGCACCGTACGTAGCAGACCGCGCTCATCGGAGGTGCGGGGGAAGGACAAGAATCTAAACGCAAGCAAAACTGTTTTAAAGAAATTCGGTTTGAATCTAGATGGTTTAAAAGTGCGTAGCTCCAGTGGCTTCCTCATATCGGAAGGAAGAGCGTTCCAGACGGCCGCGCGTCTGAAAGCGCCGCGCGAAGCGGTGACCACCGCCTTTGTTCGACAGCCGGCCCAAAGCCGCTGCTACTGCGAGCGTGACCGGAGTCCGTGTGGTTTATGGCTCCTGGACGAGATCAGCAAAGGCATCGTGTGGTCTTTTTGTGGAAAGCGCTCTGTGCGTGATGAGTTGCGAACTTATAGTGACGTATTCCATGCTTTGGCTGCAAACTCCGTCATGAATCTCTCAAGCATCGAGTAACCCAACCCTGAAGATCCGTGATGTGTCCCTGCTTATTCAGGGTCGCTGCGACGTCTCATCACCCGCGCTGGTTCTTAGCCATTATCTGACCCCACACGAGGCATTGACTGACCGTGACCCTGACCCTGACCACATCTTACCGAGCTCACTCCCACCAATGGTTGAGTTAAAATGGTATTGCTCTTTGCCTTACTGGTAACCACGTGAATGAACCGGTCAAAACAAAACCGGTTTTCCACGCGTGCAGAAATGTCTGGCAAGTAAGTAGCAACGTTGTGTTCACCGATTTTTAACTGAGCAGACGAAGACAGCCACGAAGGTGGTGAAATGGTGATCGCCGAAACAATGGGGTTTACACGCCTTACTAAATATGTTGTTACGTATTACTATTACTTCATGATTATGTATGATGTTCGCAGACGACGATGCGATATGCGGTTGAAAGCAGAGGGGTTAGTGGAAGATGATTTGAAGATCTGGGTGCAAAAGGTTGAAGGTAATGGGTTGAGGATCAGTCGGACAAAGACTGAGTATATGGTGGCACATTTCAGTGGAAATAATGCAGGAGGAAGATTGCACATTGAAAGTGACCAGTCAATGAAGAGGAACGAGTTTAAGTAGCTGGGTGCAACGACGTAGTGCCGATGGATCCCTGGAAGGAGAGATGAGAACAAGAACACGGGTTGGGTGGCTGAAATGGCGAGAGATGACCGGTGCGGTGTGCGATAAAGAGGGTCCCAGTTTGGTTGAAGGGAAAAGTATGTAGTGTATAGTGTAGTGTATAGTGTAGTGTATAGTGCAGTGTAAAGTACTGTCTAGTGTAGTGTATAGTGTAGTGTGTAGTGTATAGTGTAGTGTATAGTAGTGTATAGTGTAGTGTAGTATATAGTGTAGTGTAAAGTGTAGTGTATAGTGTTGTGTATAGTTTAGTGTGTAGTGTAGTGTATAGTGTAGTGTATAGTGTAGTGTATAGTGTAGTGTATAGTGTAGTGTATAGTGTAGTGTATAGTGTAGTGTATAGTACAAGACGGTGGTGAGGCAAGAGCTGTTGTATGGGACCGAGTGCTGGGGCACAAGAAACAGGGAGGACCACGCTATGGCAGTCACAGGGATGAGGATGTCGTGGTGGGTGTTGGGTTCAACAAGGAAGGACAGGGGGGTGAGAAATGAAGAAGCGAGGGGAAGACTCAAGGTGGTAGAAATCACAGAGAAGATGAGAGAGAGAGAGAAAGGGTTGTGGAGCGGTTCGGTCATGTTGAGAGATGACAGGAAAATTACGTGGCTCAGAAGGTGCGAGTGGAAGGAATGAGATCAAGAGGAAGAAGGCAGAAGGAGAGGTGGGGGGGGGGGGCGATGTGTCGCGATCGGACCGTGGTGGCCTGAGGAGCGGAGAGAGATGGCGCAGGGCAGCGTGGAGAAGGTTGGCTAGGACGGCGGACCCCACGTGAGTGGAACAAACGCGTGGAAGAAGAAGATTACGTTATGATTATGCTCTGTTTAGCTCGGAATTTTTCAACAGGGGACGTGACAAGGTTTAGTTCTTTGCAGTAGGCTGGCAATGTTGTTGCTGCAATATGGGGACTGGTGGCGTAGCGGTCAGCGGGCTGCGCTACGAACCTTGTGACACAAGTTCCATTCCCGCTCACGGCCGGCACCAGTGACAGCAATTATCTGAACCGGTCCTGGGCCTCCCTTAGGTCGACTCAGTCTCAAATGAGTACCTGGTGCGGTGTAGTAAACATCGCCACTGGGGAGGCAAAGGTCGGGCGTGGTGCTGGCCACCCACCCCCTCGTGTGCCGTGCCAGTCTTTGTAGGTGCTCGCTAACAGCACTTGCCCCTAAAGTCTGTTAAGACTACACGGGGGCCTTTGTCTTTGATCCCATTTGAGTAAGGGGCCGTCCATAAATGACGTCCCGCACCTGGAGGGGGGGGGGGGGGGGGTCAGACATTTGTGACGATGTGTGACGAGGGGGGGGGGGGTTGAGAAATGTGACGTCACATCAAAATGCGCAACTTTAAATAAATATAGACAACACGTTCTACTTAAATAGACTTTTTAATAAATGTTTTCTCCTACAACATCAGAGTGCACATTAAATACGCACTACAATGACAATAGATTTTAAGCATGTTTTATTTTTTTTTTGGGGGGGGGGTCTGACTTTTTGTGACGTCGTGTGACGAAGAGGGGGGGGGTCAAAAATCGTCCAAAATCGCGTGACGTCATTTATGGACGGCCCCTTAGTTGCAGTGGAGTCTGTCCGCAATGGGATGTTCTGGCCACATTGTGCGTGCGTGCATTCCTTTAAGCTAGTGCAGGAAACCGGAGAACTACGGAGGAAACCCGTGCAGAACAGAGAGGAGATAACTTCACAAGCTCCGCATAGAAAGGCGACACTCCACCCGGGTTAGGACTCGAACCGAGGCTCACCCTCTTCTCTCGTGTGAGGCGCGAGCGTCACAATTGTGATGGCACTGCCCCGACCGTCGTGTTTTTGATTAGGACACAAATCTTGTGGCCTCTAAGAGTGGTTTCACGCGTAGGGGCAGGGTGAAACCTATCAAGTTCCTCAATGATTTTATTGAGTAAATGATTTATATTGGAGACAAAAAAATTACATTGGGGGGGGGGGGGAAATCGTTAAACAGTTGTACACTTAATGAATGGACTTGTGCGCCGTGGTGGTGAGATGTTAACTACCTCGCCTGGTATGCAGGAGGTCGTGGGTTCGATCCCGACCCTGACGCCTGCTGCTGTATATTTGGAGTTTGCGTGTCTCTCTCTCTCTGGTCGCGTGGATTTTTCTCCGGTTCCTCCGGTTTTTCCCTCCAGATTTAGAAACAACATCGCGAGTTTAGATTATTTGGCCGCTACAAATTTCCACGTGATGATAAGCCACTTCGTTGGGCAATCGTTTGTGATTGCCAGGTCGCTTCTGAAAAAGAGTTACGTAGATCAGTGGGGCCTTACCTGGTAAGATACAAATTGTGAAGTGTAAGCAATCTCAGTGTAGGAGCATTGAGATTTGGCGATTGATTGGCAGGGCCAGTTTTCTGTCCCGTCTTCTCGCCTGTCTGTGGTTCCCTACCCTCCCACGAATGCTCTGTGCAAAAATAAAAAATAAACCCTACGGTGCGTGACAAATTCTACTGCGGTGTTTTTAAGATGTGATTTGCATTCGTAATTATATATATGTTTATTCATTATTCTTATTAATAAGCTATTGTGCATTTCGGCATTTTAATGGAAAATGAGAGAGATGAGCGTCTGTTTGAGTTCCCGGCCAGCAACAGAGACGTGAGAAAAATGAATAAGTTCATACGAAAAAAG